CACCCGTGAATTCCTCTTGTCATTCACCAGGGTGCCCGCCCGCTTGAGGCGCCCCACCGGCGTCTCACAGCGTCGCGGCGCGCGGACCACTTGGGCGTCGCAGTAGCCGACTGCTTCGCGATGAAAACTCCGCGAGGGGGGGGGGTCATCTCAGACATCTCCCTCTCCAAACTCATGGGCGCGCCCTCAGGGCCGAGTGGCGCCGTCGCGCGCGCTGCTGCCAGGGGCGCGGCTGAGCTTCTCCACGATCTCCTTCTCGGCAGCCGCGGAGGCGAGGATGGCCAGGGGGCCCGTTGTCGTCTCCAGCTTCATCCTCGCCGTCGGCGACCACGATGGAAACCACCGCAACCGCAAGTTCACAAAAATATTCCAGGACGGGCGCAATCCCAAATTTACATGGCAGCGTTTCGCACTTGCACTCACGGTTCACTCTGCACTGCGCGCAGCGCATGCAATTACACGCGCCTTCGCCTTGCAAGCATCACCCCAGGAACCATCTTAATAACACCAAAGGTGACCTGTGGGACCTGCGGGACCTGTGGAACCTGCCGGAATTGGGAGAAATGTTGGGAGCGTGAGCCCTGTGGAACTTGTGGGAGCTGTGCGGGCTGCGGTAGCTGTGGGACCTGAGGGACCTGCGAGACCTGTGGGACCCTTGGGACCTGTGGGACGCGTGGGCCTGGTGGGACCTGTGGGGCCTTCGAAATTGCAAAACTTGTCGTCCCTGCGAGACCTGTGGGACCTGTGGGACCTGCGGGGCTTGCGCCACCTGCGACACCTGCCTGACCTGTCGGACCTGTAGGACCTGAGGGACTCGTAGGACCTGTGGGACCTGCAGGACCTGCGCGAACCAGTGGGACCTGTGCCTGTGGGACCTAAGGCCCCGGGGGAGACCGGAACTTGACCGGGGCCCTGTGGGACCGGGAGACAGGTGGGACCTGTGGGACCTGTGGGACCGGAGGGGCTGGGTGGACCTGTGGGGCCTGTGGGACCTGTAGGGCCTGAGGGGCCTGTGGGGCATGCGTCGCCTGTGGGACGTGTGGGACATGCGGGACCTGCGCGACCTGCGAAACCTGTGGGACCTGCGGGTCCTGCGGAACCTGCGGGACCTGCGGACCCCGTGGCCCTTGTAGGACCTGTAAGCCCTATCGGGCCTGTGGGACCTGTGGGGCCTTCGGGGCATGTGGGACCTGGGGGGACTGGGACTTGCGGGGCCTGCGGGACTTGCCAGACCTACGAGGCCTGCGGGGCTTGCGGGACTTGTAAGACCTGTGGGACATGTGGGGCATGTGGGACTTGTGGGACATGTGGGATATGCTGGGCCTGTGGGATTTGTGGGACCTGCGCGACCTGCGGGACTTGTGGGACTCGTGGGACCTGTGCTGGCGGCGGGACCTGTCGGACCTGCGGGACATGTGGGACCCGGGGGGCCTGTGGGACCTGTTGGACCTGAGGGACCTGGGAGACCTGCGGAACCTGTGGGACCTGTGAGAGCTGCGGGACCTGCGGGACATGTGCGACCGGTGGACCTGCGAGAACCTGTGAAACCTGTGGGGTCATTCATACCTGTGGGACCTGTGGCACCTGCGGACCTGCGGGACCTGCGGGTCCTGTGGGACCTGTTGGACCTATGGGTCCTCTGGGACCTACGGGACCTGTGGGAATTGCGGGACATGCGGGACCTGCGAGACCTTTAAAACCTGTAAGACCCGTGGGGCCTGCGGAACCTGTGGGACGTGCGGGACCTGCATGTGGGACCTGTGGGACCTGCGGGGCCTGCGGGGCCTATGGAGTATGCGGGACTGGCGGGTCCTGCGCGACCTGCGAGACCTGTGGGACCTACGGACCCTGTGGATCCTGTGGGGCCTGCGGGACCTGTGGGGCTTGTGGGACCTGTAGGACCTGTGGGACCTGTGGGACCCAGTGGGACCTGCGGGACCTGCGGGGCCTGCGGGGCCTGCGGACCTGCGAGACCTGCGCGACACGCGGGACCTGCGGAACCTGTGGAACCTATGGGACATGTGAAACATGTGGGACCTGTGGGGCCTGTGGGACCTGTGGGGCCCGCGAGGCCTGTGGGACCCTTGGGACCTGTGGGACGTGTGGGACCTGTAGGACCTGCGAGACCTGTGGGACCTTTGGCACCTTCTTTGCGACTTGTGGGTCCTGTGGGACCTGTAAGACCTGTAGGACCTGTGGGACCTGTGAGACCTGCGGGACCTGTGACACCTGCAAGACCTTGGGACCGGTGGGATCTGTTGGGCCTGAGGGACCTGTGGGACCTGTGGGACCTGCGGGACATGCGGGACCTCCGGGACCTGTGGCACCTGTGGCACCTGTGCGGCCTGTGGGACCTGCGGGACCTGCGGGACCTGCGGGACCGGCGAGTGCGGGACCGGCGAGACCTTCGAGACCTGCGGGACCCGTGGGACCTATGGGACCTGTGGGACATCTGGGACACGTGGGACCTGTGGAACCTGTGGGACCAGTGACCGCCGAGGACCCAAGTAAGGCCCTGAATTCTGGGACCGCCAGGCACCCAAGTAAGGACCTTACTTGGGACCCCAGGATTTCCTTATTAAATTTGGTGGATCGACAGATGTCTCGCACTTTGGGACCATCGAGGCCCCCCGGGGGGCATTTATTAAGGAACCAGAAGTTTCCTTACGTCCACCATGTTTTCTTGGAGCGGAAAGACCGAAAATTCAAACGTCCCGGCGTCGCCGTCGGAGGCCCCCAACCAGCCACCCAGCTTGGAAACGCGCGGCAAATGTTTCGCCGAGGCTGAACGCGACTCTGCTGCCGTCGCCACCGTAGCTGCACTGCATCCGGTGATCCACTGGCCTCAGGGCCCCGAAGAGTAAGCCTCCTAGCGGTGTCCTGACGACCTCCTGGAATCTGGGGGGAGACCGCCGGGGGACCTCCCCTGGTCCTTTTGGGGGCCTCCCGCAAACTTCCAGAAGGGGGCTGGGAGGTCTCCCAGAAGCTTTTCCTGGTCCTTGCAAGCCTGCTGGGAATCCTCCCCGAGGACCAGGGTCCGGGAGCCTCCCCCAGACCTCGAAATCTGGCAGGGCTCCCTCCAAAGGGAAACTTCCGGGGAGACCAGGGGAGGCCTCCCCTGGTCCTCCCGGGGCGCTGGGGGGAAACTTGGTGGAGGACCAGGTGAGGTCTCCTGGAACCTTCCCCTGGTCCTCCCGAAAGCCTCCCACAAGAGACCTCCCCCCTGCGGGAACTCTCATCGGAGGCTTCCAGGTGAACCAGGGGAAGCCTCCCAGAGACCTCCCCTGGTCGCCCCGGAAGCCTGGGGGAGGCCTCGCCTGGTGCTCCCAGGGGCCGCGGGAAGCCTCTCGCCACACCTTGTGAAAACCAAGGGAAGCCTCCGGAAGGCCTCCCCAAGCCCTCGGGGGGATCAGGGGGAGGTCTCCAGGAGAACCAGAGGAAGTCTGGTGGAGGCCCCCTCCACCTCGCCGGAGGAGGGCCCGCTGGGAGGTCTGGTCGACGTGGAAGGGGGGCATCCCACCAGACCTGTTGGAGGTGGAAGGGAGGTCTGGTACCGGACCTAGTAGGGTTGGGGGTAACTGAAGACCCAACCCAGGCAAAGCAAGAAAACCAGCATGGAGGCGAACGCGGCCCAAGACGGCACCAAGATACCCCCCGGGCAACTCGCGACGGCCCAAGAGGGCCCCTAATGTCCCAGGTGGCCCCGTATACGACTCAAGAGTGTCCCAGGAGGCCCCCATGACAACCCGACAGTAACCCATGACATACCACATGTTGTCCATGTGTGCCACGTGAGAACCCCAGGAGACGCAATAATGAGACAAGGAGAACGAAATGGAAGAAGGGAGGGTGACAACATGGGGGACGTGGGAAGGGGGAGGGCGACGACGTAGACGAAGGAGTGCGCCCCGAAGCGGCGCGGAAGAGCGCGTCACATGTTGCGGCCCTTGCAAGGCTATGGGCGACGACATGTCGCGCGTTATGGCTTTCGTGGCGGTGCTCGAAGACTCGCCGCGCCGAGTGCTGCGCGGTCGCGGTGCGCGGGACTTGCCGCGAACAGATCGGCACGGCGCACGCGCCGTGGTTTCTACCACAACCGCGCGACGCGCATGATTTGTCAGCAATGTCGCGCCCTCCACGAGCGGACCGGGCCCTCCACTTTGAGACGTGCGCAATGAAACACCATCAAAACATAATGCGAGTGGACGAGGGGGAAAGCAACCAGAAGAGGTCGCGCGAAAGGTGGACAACAAATGAACAATGCTCACAAAAAAATCACATGCGCAAGCGCCCAACGAAACAAACTTATAGACACTCCAACAATTCGGCGTGCCGCGAAGAAGGGAAAAGGGGCGGGGGGCCCGCGTGCCCACGAGGAACAAACTTAACGGCATGGTAATCGCTACTGGACACGCCGTCACGCAGAGCCGCTCTGACAACACACACGCACACGGGCGCATCATCGCGCAAAAGCGGCCGAACCACGCCGCGCGAAGCATCGCTGCGCCAAGGCGATCCGCCCATGCAAAACACGCGCAAATTGCATCCGAAAAGAGCGTTACGCGCCGCGCAATAAAATATGGCGCGGTGCCGCAACAACCAGGCGGCTACGAATGTAAACTCCTCTGAACTGCGCGCGCGCGTCGTGTTAAACAGGCCGCGCCGCGCAGGCACGCCACTCGGTCTCGCGCCAGCACGTCGAAGGGAAGGTCTGCGGGAGACGCTCTGCAAGTGGCAATGAAGCAACCCCACGAGAACGCGATACATGTGAAATCGAAGCACGTGCCAACAGTAACCGCGACAACAGAACAACCAACAAAAATTCATGTTAAAGAAACATCCATAACTTCCGGTTGCGGTGGTTCCTTGCGCGGTCAGTCGGCGCGTGAGCCGTGGTCGCCGTGCCCCAAGGCTCCGCCACCAGCTTGTCCGTCGTCGTGGTCGTCGTCGTCTCGCTGCTGGGCTCGCTCTGCTTGCCCGACGCGAAATGTGCCGATGACCTCGCTCAACGTCTGGATCGCCATCTCCTGCGTGAATTTTCCCCTCGTCTCGTCAGCGTAGGCCAGCAGGCTGCGCGGGCGGCTGACGACCGGGAGGCCCTTCCACATCATATTCTTCCTCGGCGGCCGCTTCGACCCACTCGAGGACAGTGGCTCGGATGCACCGCTGGTGGGCACGCCTGCGAACTTCTGGAGGGCTGCAGCGGCCTCCGCAAGCTGCGCCAGAATATGCTTCTCCGCGGTGCGCCGCTTGGATGCTCTGGCTCCTCCTCCACCCCCGCCTCCGACAAGCGGATCGCGGAGATCCTGGGAGGAGAACTGATAGCCATCGCACCTGGCGTCGAGATCCCCTCCTCGGCACCATCGTGGACAAAAATGCGGGGCTGATCGCCCTCCTCGAAAGCATCGTCGAACTTCACAGAGACGGACGGCTCGAAAAACCTGATGTCCGCCACCTCCTGCTCGGACCCGGAGAGCGAGAGGCAGCGCTGGAACATCGCGCTGGGCATGGCGACCACGGCGACGGCGCATCCGATCATTCGTCACCCACGAGAAACACTGAGTGTACATTCGCAGCAAGGAGACCGTGGCCACGATCTCCCTTCGCCGCGAGGCCGAAGCACCACGCCCGCCATCGCCAGGACGGCCTCGGAGGTGCCGTCGGGGGGCTGCTGCTCGATGGCCTGATCGTGATCGCGGCGGATGACGTCATGGCAGGTTGGCCACTCGCTGAAGGCGTCGAAGCTGCGCGGCAAACTGCTCGGACTTGACGCCTCAATCTGAGTTCCCTTGTGCGGGCCACTCAGCAGCACTAGCCCGAGGCGTCAATTCATGGTCCAGTGCGTGACACCCTCCATTGCCGTTCGCTTCACCTCCGTGTAGCCGAAGTTCTGGCCGTTGATGTGCTCCACGAGCGCTTCCGTGGAAATTGGTTCCTCGTCATTGGTGGTCTCCAGCCCGCCCTTCCACTGCGATGCGTCAGCGTGAGGTCCACGACCGTGGTCCTTGGTCAGCCCCTCCATCCTCGACGCGAAGTTAGCTTTGAAGATTGCAGTCTCCTCCTCTGTCAGCTCACTCCCACAACCCGAAGTCGTAATGAACGGGTAGAAGGCCGCTTCGCTGTTCTGTCTCATCGTTTATGAATCGTCTTTCTCGATGAAATTGTCCTCCTGCAAAAATCGAAAGTCCATCGCCAGCGTAGTTCCCTTGGGAAGCCTCCCTGCGGCCGTGGGGCCGCTGATCTTTGGCGCGGCGAGGCCGAACCCGACCGAGGCAGCCGCGGCCACAGCAGCAAACGCCGCAAGACGGATCACGACCCGCATGGATGATGGGGCAAGGAAGCCGACCTCCGCCAGATGGGGCGCATCGCAGTCCCCCTCCACGTTGGCGCGGCCGTCCATCGCTGGCCAAGGTCGGTCGGAAAGGGGGGTCGGTTCGTGGTGCAGACGTGCCTGGCAATGCGGCCAGAATGCGCGATGCACTTTTTGGGACCTTGAGCCAAGATGGCTACGGAATGAAGGTGGAGGAGGAGGAGGAAGAGGAAGAGGAGGAGGAGGAGGAGGAGGAGGAGGAGGAGGAGGAGGAGGAGGAGAGCGCGATCCCAAATTGCACCAGTCCCGCGCGTGACTGCTAGCCTGGACACTGGAAGTGAAGACCAAGGGGGTCTGGGCAAGTAGGAACTAGGCTAAGGTCGGGCTTATCCCCCTACAGGCGGACTTTGGACGAAATGACAATTACACCGAACATGGCCCCAAAATATTCAAACATAGTTTTAACACAACCGTCCCCTGACGTTTTTCTTATACATGTATATATACATAGATGTGTAAATGTACGTATATATACATGTGTATATGTATGCATCATAAACCATAGCATGATAAAACAAAACAACTATGTTTGATTTTTCCTCATGTAGAGGGGCGGGTTCGACTTAAAACTAGGCCTCATGCAAAGTGCAGAGGAATGTAGTGGGAGGCAGGCGGGCGGATGGGGGAGAGGAAGACAGGGCGGAGACCCGAAGAAGGGTGAGCAGAACGAGGAGAGCACCGTGTGGACGGTGCTGGAAGCCTAGACCCCCACAAACACTGAACAACATCAAAGCGGAAATTTGTTTTCGCTACTTCGGCCTCTGGAGGCTCTTACTGGCCCTCAGGACCGTCAAACATGACTCAGGATGAAAAACAGGTCTAGGAGAATGGGTCGAGACCTCTGGGGATCGACGGCCGGCAAAAATCATGACGTCGGAGGGCTGGGAACTCTGAGCCAAAACAGATTGCCAGACATGCGACGTCCTGATTTTCAATGCGGGGTCCCTGGAAGCTCCGACCCTGTCCCTGAGACCGGTTTTTCATTATTAGTCGTTGTTTGATGGTCCAGAGGCCCTGCGTGGGCTCCCAGGGGCCGAGAAAGGCCAAACACCCTCCCTCTGGATTATTTTTCAACAGAGTTATGCCTGGGTCGCTGTCTCTCGGGGGTTCCCAGCTGGGGTTGTAACTTGGGGGGGTCTCGAAGGGAATCGGGATGGGGATGGGGATCGGTTTAACGATACTGAGCGACGACGGTCAAAACAAGCACCTGGCCCAAGCAATGGCGACGTCATGACGGATCCCTCGAGCTGCGCTCCGCCGCGGCGGAGACGACGGGACGCCCGAAAGGCGGGCAGAGAGCAGGCGCGTCCCCCGCCCATCCCCGCGGTCTGGGGCGTGGCAGCGCCTGCGGGGGGGGGCCTCCTCCTCGTCCTCCTCGTCCTCCTCCTCCTCTGCCCTCCTCCTCCTCCTCCGCCCTCCTCCTCTTCTTCCTCCTCCTTTTCCTCCTCTTCCTCTTCTTTTTCCTCCTCCTCCTCCTCTTCCTCCTCCTCCTCCTCTTCTTCTTCTTCTTCTTCTTCTTCTTCCTCCTCGTCTTCCTCCCCCTCGCCTTCCTCCTCCTCGTCTTCCTCCTCCTCGTCTTCTTCCTCCTCCTCCTCCTCCTCCTCCTCCTCCTCCTCCTCCTCCTTCCCTTTCTGCCCGACGCTCAAGAAGTAAGCGTCCGAGGGTGGCTGCGTAATCGTTGCCGCTGTTCGTGGGCTTCGAAGGCAGCGGAGCTAGAGATACCGATCCCGGCTGAAACCCATGCGAAAGCAGTTCCAATCCTCGTGGCCTATCGCCGATCCTTCGTCCTCAGCATTGGTCTCTTCGTCGGCATCCTGTCTACCTCCTACTCTTGCTCCTCATACTCAAGCGTCTTGGCACGCGACTGAGTCGTCCGCGAAGAGGAGGAATAAATCCGTCGGCCGATCAGGGTGGCAGGCGCGTGCAACAGCGGTTCCAGTAATGAGAGAAGCAGGGAAGCCTTCCCCTCCTCCTCCTCCTCCTCCAACTCCTCTTCCTCCTTCTCCTCCTCTTCCTCCTCCTCCTCCTCCTCCTGCTCCTCCTCCGTCTTCCCAACCATACCCTATCCCTCTCCCTCCTCCTCCTCTTCCTCCTCCTCGTCCTCCTCCTCCTCCTCGCCCCCTCAGCAAACTCCGACTCACCCTCTCACCCTCTCTCTGTTGCTGGTCCTCATCTTCATGCTTTTCCGCCTGTCCGTCTCCCTCCTCCGCAGGTCCATTTCCTCCTTCTCCTCATGTTTCTCCTCACCAGTTCCCTTGTCCTCCTCTTCCCCCACGTCTTCCTTCTTTCTCAACAACATACTCCCACCGTCTTGATCCTGCCCCTTTTTCGTTCTCCCCATCTACCCCCGTTCTTTTTCCTACTCCCCCCACTCCTCCCCTCCTCTTCCCCCTCCTCCATTCCTTGCCCCCCCGCCCCCTCTCCCTCCCTCCCCCGCCGCCGCGGGAGGGCGGAGATGAGGGGCGCGAGAGTGTCAGGACGAAGGGGGAGGAGGAGGCCAGCGCCCGTGCGCCCAAGGGGCAGCGTGGAACACTCGTGATAACTGTTAGCCATAAAGGGGGCCGCAAATGCTAACACTAATTTGTGGATGTGGACGCTATGTGGTGCAAAATGCGTACAGTAGGAGGCTTGACCTAAGGAACCCTAAATAAGGAACGAGGCCCCTCTTTTCCATGAGTTAAACTTCGATTTCCGATCGGAAACATAAGAAAACCTGAGGCAAGCTGTGAAACACTTAAGGAACGCGGAACCCCTCCCCAACCAAAAGGGTTCCTTCTTCAGGGCCCCGACTGTAGTGCAAGCTAGAGCCGGCAACGACGCGGCAACGGGCGGCACTGTGGCGGATCCTTGCGAAGCGGCAGCATCGAAGCGGCAACGGGCACCAACGTGGCGAAACCTCGCCGGACCCAGCAAGCGCACGCGGTGGCATCGAGGCGGCAAGCAAGGCGAAACCTCGCCAGACCCACCCAGCGCACGAGGCATCGCCGAAGAGGCAACGAGGCGGCAGCGGGCGCCAAACGTGGCGAAACCTCGCCAGACCCACCCAGCGCACGCAGTGGCGACGAGGCGGCAACGGGCGGCAAGCGAGGCAGCAACTGGCGGCAACGTGGCGGAACCTCGCCGGACCGATCCAATCTCTGAGTCAGCCAAAGTAAGAATCCCTGAGTGCAAGCGCCGTTTGAGGACAAACAAGTGCAACCAAATCGGGGCTCGCATGACGGAGGCAGCTGGCAATGCATAATTCGCATCGTCGTTGCAGTCAGCAGTTGCACGTATGTACTCTGAAATTCGACGTTGCGGGACAAATTCAACAGCGCGAAAACTCATGACCAGAGCGTTAGCAACATCGGAAAATGGGACCTGCAACCGTCGCCAGCGAGGGCGACGCAGGTGCGCGCCGCAGCGCTGGGCAGGTGACTGGCGGCAAAACGCACTGCAATCAACACAACCAACATCAATATATTTGCAGTTATATTTAACCAGCTACAGTTAATGCTAATTCATTGCGGCATATATATATATGCAAACATTTGCTAGCTAGTATGTCGAAGTGTTGCACAGTAGATGCAACGAATCAACGAAAAACAAAACGAGGATGACGAGAAGGGAGATGCAGTGGACCGACACCATCAAGCAATGCTACGAAAGCTTGGGCGCTGTCCTGTCTACACATGCTTGGTTAAAGTCCCTCTGGCAAAGTGTTGGGTGTCGTCGCGCCACCGCATCCTCGGGTGACCCGGTCTGCGCCGCGCACCGCTGGTTGGGTCTTGTTGGGGCCCCATCGTAGCGTTCGTGCTGTCCACTCGAAATCTTCTGACATGCACACTCTCCGGGCCGATCTCCGGTCCCGTTAGCATTGAATCGATGCCCCCTTGTCGATGTGTCACCGCCCAATCATGTTTTCAGCTCTCTTGGCCCCGTCGGATGTGGTCTGCCCAGGGCCCAAGACTGTCATCGATCGGACCTGTCTGCTCCATAACGTCTGTCGATTGGTCTCGGCGCCTGGGCGCGCGCAACATCATGCGCAACATCTGGCGCTGCATCCTCTGGAGTCAGTTTTCTGGATCCGCAATCAATCCACGCATCGCAGCCATAAGATATAATTGAAGCTGCTGCCCCACAGAAGAACAGAAATCGCTTGTTTATGGAATAAGCTTTCCAAGTTAGCTCATCTCGCACAGCCAGTAAAGTGCCCCAGGCAGCCACTCGTGCAGTTCGAGCCCAGTCTTCGAAACATCATCGCTCACGTTTTCCAGCATTCTGCTGATGCGCCGAAGAAGCAGAAATGTGCAAGTCGTGTTCCTGCATTCTGAAATTGTAGCCCAATCCGCTGTGATGCCAACCTTTCCCGATATTCCGCATGATACTTTCCTTTCAGAAACGCGTGAAAAGCAGCAGTCAGCTCATCGGATCGCCCTGCTTCGTGCCCTCCTGTATGTAGCGCTCCCTGCTCGCCTTGTTTGCCCGGGCCCGTCGTCGTAGAGCTTGGCCGAGAGCTCCGCGTGCGCTGCAGGCGCCCCCCATTCATTAAGGGCTGGCCATATGCTCTGGTGGGTCGCTGCGTCGAAAACATTCTAGAACCCCGACGCGGCCGCCCATCGTGGCAGCGCCCGCTCGTCGGCTGCCCCGTGACGCATCGCGATCGTGAACTA